TTCTTCTCTTCGATCTCCTGTTGGATTTGTGGGTGTTTGATAAGATAGATAGCTTTAGATAAGCTATCTAGCTGATCTCCTGATACCTGAAGTAGTCTCAACCTGCTACTTCTCTGTCATCTTGACTCCTTCATCCTATTTTTAATTTCTTGAGGAATCTTCACACTGTTCTCCAGAGTGGCTGAACCAACTTGCATTCCCACCAGCAGTGTAAGAGGGTTCCCCTTTCTCCACATCCTCTCCAACACATCCTCTCCAACACATGTTGTTTCCTGTCTTGCTAATTTTGGCCATTCTAACAAGTGTAAGGTGGTATCTCAATGTGGTTTTAATTTAAATCTCCCTGATGGCTAGTGATGATGAACATTTTTTCACGTGTCTGATAGCCATTTGTATGTCTTCATCAGAGAAGTGTCTGTTCATATCTTCTGCCCATTTTTTGACATGATTATCTGTTTTGTGTCTGTCGAGTTTGAGGAGTTCTTTATAGATCCTGGATATCAACCTTTTGTCTGTACTGTCATTTGCAAATATCTTCTCCCATTCCGTGGGTTGCCTCTTCAACGGACGAATGGGTAAGGAAGATGTGGTCCATATACACTATGGAGTATTATACCTCCATTAGAAAGGATGATTACCCAACTTTTGTAGCAACATGGATGGGACAGGAAGAGATTATGCTGAGTGAAATAAGTCAAGCAGGGAGAGTCAATTATCATATGGTTTCACTTATTTGTGGAACATAACAAATAGCATGGAGGGCAAGGGGAGATGGAGAGGAGAAGGGAGTTGAGGGAAATTGGAAGGGGAGGTGAACCATGAGAGACTACCGACTCTGAAAAACAATCTGAGGGTTTTGAAGGGGTCGGGGGTGGGAGGTTGGGGGAACCAAGTGGTGGGTATTAGAGAGGGCACGGATTGCATGAAGCACTGGGTGCAGTGCAAAAACAATGAATACTGTTATGCTGAAAAGAAATAAAAAATTAAAAAAAAAAGATTTTATTTATTTATTTGACAGAGATTGGGAGATCACAAGTAGACAGAGAGGGAGGCAGAGGGAGAGGAGGAAGCAGGCTCCCCACTGAGGAGAGAGCCCCTTGCAGGGCTCAATCCCAGGACCATGAGACCACAACCTGAGCCAAAGGGCAGAGGTTTAACCCACTGAGCCACCCTGTCTTTTTTTTTTTTAAGATTTTATTTATTTTTTGACAGAGGGGGACACAGTGAGAGAGGGAATACAATACAGGGTGAGTGGGAGAGGGAGAAGCAGGCTTCCTGCTGAGCAGAAAACCCAATGCAGCGCTAGATTCCAGGACCCTGGGATCATGACATGAGCCAAAGTCAGATGGTTAATGACTGAGACCAAGGCACCCTTTACTTTGCTTTTTAAATTGCTTTAAGTTCTATTGCCATAACATTGTTATCATTTCCTTTCTTTTTAAGTCATTATCACTTTTCTCCTTTTTTTTTTTTTTTTTTTTTAATGCCTATTTGCCCTCTATTTTGCCCCACTTCCCTCCAGCTTTTTGGAGGATACTCTCTTCAGGTAAACATACTATTAAAAGAACTTCTTCTGGGGTGCCTGGGTAGCTCCGTGGATTAAGGCCTCTGCCTTCGGCTCAGGTCATGATCCCAGGGTCCTGGGATTGAGTCCCACATCAGGCTCTCTGCTTCACGGGGAGCCTGCTTCCTCCTTTCTCTCTGCCTGTCTCTTGTGATCTCTGTCTGTCAAATAAATAAATAAAATCTACAAAAAACCAAAAAAACCTTCTTCTTTAGTTCCAAATCTTCTCCTTTTCATAGCAAGTCTTCATACTATACCTGGCTCCCAATTAGTCAGTTTGCTGCATCATATCCACTTAGATGCATGCTGGTCTAATTTATTATTTTTTTCTGTAAAATTTTGAATAAATCACAAAAGCCTAGAACATATGTGATGAAGTTTTAGGTAAGCCACAGTCTTCAAAATATGCTGAGGAAATGCCAGAACCATTGCAGAGAGGAAATAAGTGCCCAGCAAAGGAAGAGACTGTGGTTGTCCTTCCATAACTGCTTTTCTTTGATGCATAAAAATAATTTATAGGTCTGTACACAACCCTTGGCAGATTGCACCAAATGTGTCTAGAATGCAAACACAGAATCATCCTTGTTCTATCCACCAATAATAAATATTTAAAACCTTTATCTCTATTATTTTCTCTACTGTCACAACAGAAATAGTATCTTTGCTCCTATAAAAAGCAAACTCAGCCTCTTGTACTCTGAAACCCATTTACTCTTGACTTCTCAAAACACTATTGAATTATTCTTTTTCCACACTTCCCTGAAGTATCAATTTTTTCCTTTTCAATGATTCATTTCTATTACCATAAAAATGTTCTAGGACTCACTATATTTTTAAAAAAACTCCCATGACCAGACATATTCCTCTAGCTACTATCCCATTATTCTTCTCAGAGTATACTTGTCAAAAGATTTGGCTAAGTATACACTCTCAAATGCTTCACCTTCTGTTCTCTTTTCATTATGTTTTCTCTTCTCTTCATAAAATAAGTTCTGATCAATGTTACTAATGATTCTACCTTGCCATATTCAATGGCCATTTTGCTATACTTGTGTTTCTTGAACTTTGAGCAGCATTTAACACAGTTGACCACCTCTCATTTATTACAAAATTTCTTCTGTGGATTTCTGAACTTGTCTTTGTATTTCTTCTTCCATCCATAGCTAACCCTTCTCAATCTTACCTACTGGCTTCCATCCCTCACATTTTTTTTTTTAAAGATTTTATTTATTTACTTGACAGATAGATGTCACAAGTAGGTGGAGAGACAGGCAGAGGTGGCAGGGAGTGGGGAGCAGTCTCCCACTGAGCAGGGAGCCCCATGTGGGGCTTGATCCCAGGACCCTGAGATCATGACCCAAGCTGAAGGCAGAGGCTTAACACACTAAGCCACCCGGGCATCCCACAGTCCCTCTGTTTTAGCTCCAACTGTCAAAGTTCCTCAAGGGGCAGGACTCATCCCACTTTAAGCACTTTCTAGAGCTCATTCTGCTTCACTACAGTTCTTTTTCCTGACTTCTGGTACAAATATCTCTCTGCCTATATGACATTTCCCTCTGGATATCTAATAGGCATCTCAAACTTATGTCCAGAATCAGATCATTCTTTTTCCAATTATGTCTCCTCAATTTTTTACTCCCAAGTCTTCTCTATTTCAGTGGAGTACAAGGGATTTAAATTTTAGGACAGTGAACTTATTCTGTATGATATTATAATGGTGGATTCATGATATTATGTTTAAGTCAAAACCCACAGAACTTTATGGCAGAGTGAACCTTGATGTATGCAAATTAAAAAAGTAATTTTGGAGGCTATGGTACTTCAGCATAAAATGCAAAAACTGCTAAACTACTCTGACTGTATTGAAGTGGTATGAAGCAGCCTCACTGAAGGGTGTGGAGATAAAGTCTATGTAATCTTAGAAATGTGTCATCTTAGCTTGTAAGACTAGTAACAAAAGGAACTGTACATAGCACTGTCAATGGTAATTTCCCACAGGGTATGGAATAAAAATCCTAAAACCACAAAATATATATACTGGAATTGAATAATTAAGTAAATGAATGGTGATGGTGGTAGCCATGGTTCTCATTACTGGAACAGGAAGTAATAGAAATGCAAGGGTAAGGGTTAACATGATCCATGTTATAATTTATTAAAGTTGGAGACATCAGTGTGAACTCATGGAACCAACTGAAGGAGTTCCAATGACCAAAGCTGGGACAATGGGAATAACAAAATAAATAAAGTAGTATTGGATTATAACAGAAAATATCAAATAAATATGAATCAGTTTTACTGATATAAATGCTTGATAAAGAAGTAAATGGGAGATTAGACAAAAATCACCTGTAGAAGATTTCTAAATAATTCATGTAGAAACTCTGTTGTGAAAGAGAAATGGTATAACTCTACATTTTTTTTTAAGATTTTATTTATTTATTTGACAGAGAGAGACACAGCGAGAGAGGGAACACAAGCAGGGGGAGTGGCAGAGGGAGAAGCAGGCTTCCTGCTGAGCGGGAAGCCCGATGTGGGGCTCAATCCAATCCCAGGACCTTGGGTTCATGACCTGAGCCAAAGGCAGACACTTGACAACTGAGCCACCCAGGCACCCCTAACTCTCCACTTCTTAAATGTGGGCTGCACATATTAACTTCCTTTCAAGGGTACAGTATGGAAGTGGAGGGAAAAAGAGTAACATTATAGTACATAAACAACAAACACTACTACAGTCAAGTGATCAAAATTAACATCAGTGATAAGGCATGTTGGTAGTATGCACTCTTTATAAATTGTGATAAGAATGTCAACTCTTCTCTGTGATCTTCCTCCAAAAAACTACCCTAAGTGTAATGATGAGAAAAACATCAGACTACCCTGATTTGAGAATATTCTACAAGCTATCTGACCCACACTTCTTGAAACTGTAAATAAAACCAAAACCAAACATCAAAAAACAAGGAAAGAGTGAGATACTGTCAGCCAAGATTATCCGAAAAGACATGAAGAATAAAGGTACTGTGGTATCCTGAATGTGGTCCTTGAATAGAAAAATGTATTCAGGAAAAACTAAGAAAAGGTGTTAGTTGAAAAATGAATTAAGTAAAGACTTTAATTAATAGTAATGCATGAATATTGATTCATTAATTTTGACATACCATACTAATGTAACATGGTAATCATAGGAGAAATTGGGTATGATGTATATGGGAACTTTCTCTACTACTTTCACAGTTTTTCTGCCAGTCTAAAACTATCCTAAAAGGAATAGATTATTTAAAAAAGATGAAGCTCAACTCACTCATGAATCACATCCTTTGTGGTTTTCAGTATTGGGTTTATTTCAATGCCACAGTTTGTAGAGACTGATTCTGCTTTTGATCAGGTAATCTCTCTTTCCATCTCATTCAAATATGGATTATTCTATTTACAGGATGTTTGGACAGACGCAGAACACAGAGAGATCAATGATGCAGAAGCCAAGAAAGCATTCCTATCTTTGCCAACACAAATGGGCATGCAAAGGTAAGGACCCATAACCCTCCATTAGACCACAGATTGTAATACAGTCAGAATTTTCTGTGGGTCTTTTAATCCTAGACTTTTAATGAGAACTTTTAAGGACTTCAACTAGAATCTGTTAATCAGAAAATGTTTTATCTTACTTTTAAATGATGTTTATATAGATCTTGTTAAATTGAATGTAATGGGTCAGATTTGATTTGACCAGGGTTGAAGATTTTGAAAGTGTTATAATGCTATTTTATTAAAGCAAAGTATGTAATTATAAAGGTTAGCATCTGAGGTTTGTTTCATGAATTGATATAAATATAAAACTCCTATTTCAAATAAGGTTTGAGAAGATGGCTGCAATACTCAGTCTTGCTTATGTTTCTCTTTTTGGCACTCATTTTTACTATTATTCAATTATTTTGGCATTACTTGTATTTTGCCTTCCCAGGCTTTATTCCCATTGAATAATATCTGTGTGATTCAGAAAAGACCTAAATGAAGGTAGTTGACAAATTTCAGTGGCAATTGTTTGAATAACCAGCTGATCAACTAATAATCCACCAATTTCATTGTTTGTGAATTGTAGTTTTTGAATGGAAGTGTTACATAAGAAGGATATTTAATAAATAGGAAATAAAACATATTAACCTCGTAGCATCAATAAATCCAATTCTTTAAAGATAATTAAGTATGGGTTCATCTCAAGGTAATTTAAACAGAGATTGTATGTTTCTTCCCCTACTTAAGAAAATGTGCACCCTCAGAATTTTACATTTCTGTGACGCATTTCAAGTTTGTTTTAAGTGCTTAAATGTTTCAGAAGGAAAAATTATTTATTACAGATTACCCTAAATGTCCCAAGTGGCATCGCACTGCTCTGAGACTAAGCTGTACTGTGCTGGTTATACTTATTGCTGCAGTAATAGGACTAACTACTTGGGGTGAGTAAATTGAGAGCTGTATGTTCAACTAGAGAAGTTTACCTTTATTTCTCGAACTTTTCCAGAATCATCTTTCACACTTACCTAACATATCCTTTCATTATTACTTAACTACATTAGTAATAAATGACACAGTTGATGATTTGTAGTGAGTACTTTTTTATATGAGTACTTTTCCCCCCCTATACAGAGGAGACAACAAACTTAGAAATTTAGAAGCCTATTATGCTTATAATTTTAATTAATTCATAAATTGTGTGGGTTTGGCAGTCGTAATTCTATGAAGTGAAGTTTTATATTTTGGTAAAAGCACTTACTTTTATGGAAGTTGATTATTTGGCCCTTAAATAAAATTTTTGGACTTTAGAAGTAATTTGATATTTTGAAGTTTTGACAAAATTTATCAGTTGCTTGAAAATTTAAGGCCAATTTAACTTGAATCATTCCTAAAATGAGCTCTACTTCAAGAAGAGCTATGGGTAATTATATGTTATTGTTTCTGTTTGTTGTGACCTTCTTTTTTTCTTTTTTCAAGGTAGGGGAGGGTTTCAGAGGGAGAGGAAGAGAGAGAATTTTAAGCAGGTTCCACACTCAGGACAAAGCTCTATATGGGGCTTGATCTCACAACCCTGAGATCATGACCTGAACGGAAATCAAGAGTCAGACACTTAACTGATCGAGCCACCCAGGTGCCCCTCTTGTGACCTTCTATGTGTTAGAAATTGAGATAAACATTTTACATACGTTACTTTTTAGTCTGGAGACAACTCTAAGTTTGTTAAACATTTTCCCCTTTTATATGTGAGTGAACTGAGAAACAGAAAATCTACGTAACCTGTTCAAGATCATGCCAAACAGACACAAATTTCAACGTATTTTTAATTTTACTTAGATGATTTTTTATTGTTTTTTTTCTACTTACTTTTTCATAAGTAGAAATCTACTGAGTTTCTAAGTTTATTCATCTTTTTGATTATTTTATTATTTTTATTATTTTTATTTATATTTATTTGATTTGATTTTATATTTATTTGATTTATTTGATTTTTTTTATTTATATTTATTTGATTAAATTATAGGGTTGAAATCCTATAGACAGATTCATCAGCCACCAGTGTGTGCATTCATTTGTAGTTTTGTTTTAATGGATAATTAAAAGGCACAAGCTTATATCTGTAGAAATCTAATTAGTGTTACTACTTTCCTTCACTTAATAGTAAGTCGCCTAAGTAGCAAGAATGGAACCAAAGATTGCGATTGTATAAATATTTCTCCCAGGAAACAGCAGAACAATACAAACTTCACAAGTAAGTGGTTATATTTCATTGTATTGTAGAGGAGGAAAAGCTTTTCCTCTACCCTCTTAAGTTTGGTACCAGGGTGCCTGTGAATTAAACTGTCAAAAGATCAAGTAATAGGAAGAAAAGGTTTATTTGCAAACAAAAGAAGTAGCTTGCTCTACCCGGTTTCAGTGAAAGGTTTATACACCTAGCTTAGAAGGAGAAAGTGAAGGGGAAGAAGTGGCTTCTCTGGGAAAAACAAATATATTTCTTTAGGAAAGAAAAATGGCCTCTTCAGGAGAACAAAGTGGAGATAATAAAGTGAATAATAGTGTCTGTATACACAGGTGCGCGTAGTCTTTCCTTCTTTGTAGTCACAAAATTCCTCCAGAAAGGGGATTTATGGTAGAGTTCTTAGTCATCTTTTTTTTTTTTTTTTTTTTTTTTTCTGGGAGTAAACCACTCCAAAGAGGAATTTATGACAACTTCCAATTTCAGAAGATTCTATTTTTAGTCAGATAGGGAAGCTTAGAGGAGATTTCTTCCTGAACCTGTTGATTATATTAGGCATATACAAAATATAGAAAGTCACTAACTCCTAATACCTTCACCAGTAATAGGAGGTTTTCAGGCAAAACACAGGGTGTGGTTGTTGTAAAGATTTAAATCCATGCCTTCTCCTTCAATAAGTTTTCTAGAGATTTTGGTCATCCTCTTCTTCTTGTTATGAGTGGAAGGACACCCTTACAAATGGAGATTTCCCTTGTAACTGTAACTGTCTCTTACAAAAGGATAATTTCTACTAGGCTTTTAGAACTTCTGTGTCTGCATTTTCTTAAAAACAGCCATCTCAGCATAAACCTCATGCCAAGGAGAGATATTTCGGGGTGGTATATTTTGCTCTCCTTTGGCACTCTTGGGCTTCAAACTCTCCAGTGACTTTCTATAGTCTAAGGGCTATAAATCTCAGGACTGTAAGTCTAAGCATTTTAACATTGTCTCCCTCTGGGACTTGATTTCCTACAATTGCAGTCTCATTTCTCACAATGCAACTCTCCCCTTTGTGCCTTAGGCTTCAGCAAAACAAATCTCAATATGGTAATAAAATGCAAGTAGTCTCTCATCCTCAATTCTTTGTTCATTACTGATCCAATCCATTTCTTTTGGATATTTATCTCTCTGTTGCGACTTGTACTCTCTGAACCCTTCTAACACACACATAAACACACAAACACACACACACACACACACACAGAGTTCAGACTATAACGCAGATATAATCTGGTAAAACTACACATAGTTGGTTTTAGTTACATTTCTCATATAATAGGAAATTAAAAATAAAATTACATACATTGGATATGTATATGTTTTAAAGTAAAAACTTTGTAAACTGGTTCTCACTTTGTCCTTTTATAAAAATTAGCGTTTATTTTTTTCTTACTTATCAATGCTTATTGTAGAATAAGAAAATTAACTTTTTCTCCCAAGTTACAACTATTTTCTAAGTAAAAAATTAGCCCAAACTATAAAGTTTTGCATGGTCGAAATACCATGAATTATGCCAAAATATATGTTTAGACCTTAGGTTAAGTTTGGATAACTAATAAATGCATTCTAATTAAATATCGATGGTCATAGAGAGTGATAGAAAATAGCATGAAAAATATAACCAATGTGTATGCTTATGTTGGCACTTTTCCTTAAGACTTAAGTCTTTATATAACATCTCTGTAATAGGTCAACTCATTGTTTCTCCATTATGGACATTTCTATATTGCTCCCCATATATTAGTCTTCTGGGTTCCTCTAGACCACTTGGAAGCCTTTCTACCATGAGGGTCCCAGAACTAAAGAACTCAAAAATTATTTGCTGTTTTCATCTCATTGTCTTTGGCATATCAATAATAGTCTCCCACATTCTAAATAACCATACTTTCCAGTGGATGAATTTCTTTCCACTTTACCGCACTGACAAGAGCCTGGGTTTCTTTATTGCTGTAATATGTGAATTTCAGGCAAAAAAAATAGAAGAGTCAAGTAAATGATTCATGTTTTGTTTTAGAGAACAAATGCTACCACAGCAAAAGTCATGTCACAATAAACATCTAAATAAGCACAAGACCTTAAAGTCATTTATTTCTGTCAATAATTTACAATACCAAATTTCAGTAAAATGAAAATTTGTCCCTAGCTTTAGTCTGAAGTGTGTTTTGAAGTATTTTTCCTGACCAGTGTAGTTAAATCTAGTTCATTAATATTTCAATGCCCATGTTGTTATGACTTATAAAACAAAATGCTCTGGGAAGAGTGTTGCAAAAATCAGGGTAGTTTGCTGATTCAAAACAGAAACTTAGTATATGAAATTTTCCCCAAGTAATATGATTACTCCTACCATCCCTCAAAAACCTTTACCAGTGATAACTAACTTTTGTACAGAGTATTTTATAATTTACATTTTCATTTCATTTTATTTAATATATCAGACAAGTTTGCACACAAATTTGTGGGTATTTTAAAATATGCAATACTTAAGATATACAAAAGTTTAAATATTTATTTATTTATTTGACAGAGATCACAAGTAGGCAGAGAGAGGAGGAAACAGGCTCCCCGCGGAGCAGAGAGCCCGATGCGGGGATCGATCCCAGGACGCCGGGATCATGACCTGAGCCGAAGGCAAAGGCTTTAATTCACTGAGCCACCCAGGAGCCCCAAAAGTTTAAATAGAATGCAATCAATACTTATGTATCTATCACTCAGCTTAAAATATAAGAAATTATTAGTTCACTTGAAACCTGTGTATACCTATTTTTGAAGATAAGTTTATTTTAATACCTATTTCAAGTTTTTCCTTTTCAGAGATACATGGCAGGCTATTGGGGTCATGGTGAACAGTTTGCTTTACAAAGTTAATAATAAAGCATATTATGAAATACATATATTTTTTGCACCAACAAGGGACTATGAAAAGGATATATATGTACTATTTTTTTCCACAGCAGTTTTCTCCTGATGCCTTTTAGAATCTCCTTTATAGTTTAAGTTTCCTTATGTCTTACCACTTACTATATTGGCAGTATTAGTTATAACCTTGAGTAAATTCCTTAACCTTTACATTTGTCTCCCCCTTTATACTTAAGTTTACTTCACCTTAACTTTAGTATCTTTATTTAAAAAATAAGGAATACAAAATTAATAATTTTATGTATCTTATACGTTTCTTCTAAGGAAAAACATTTCACAAATCTGTGAGCATGACAGGAAATTGTTTGACATGTGGTAATTACTCAGTAATTATGAATACTACTGGCATTTATTTCTTCTAAAGACTATTCATCAGTGGAAAGGGAGTTCTTTTCTTAGAAGTGGGACAAATCTTTACTTTTAAGGGAAAAGTTTACAAGATTAGTGCAAACAATTTTTTGATATTCAAACCTTGCTTTTCTCCTATTTCTTCCTATTTTTGCATTTCAGCAAAACCAAAGCTAAATTTATGTCCTAATAACTGGCTGCAGAAAAAAGGGAAATGCTATAATTTTTTTAAAAACTTTAAATCATGGACCGATAGCCAAAAATCCTGTTTAATAATGAAATCACATCTCTTGATGATCCAAGACAAGGCTGAACTGGTAAGAGCTAATTTGCTACGAAAATTAGCCCTTCTAAAGCTGAAAGAAATAAGTAGGTTTTTAAAAAGATGTATTTCTTATTTATTTGAGAGTGAACTAGAGCAGGGGAGTGAGAGAGAGAGAGAGAGAGAAAGTGAGAGCGAGCTTGAGCAGGGAAAGCGGCAGAGGGAGAGGGAGAAGTGGACTCCCCACTGAGCAGAGAGCCCGATGCAGTGCTCAGTCTCCCGACCCTGGGATGATGACCTGAGCTGAAGGCAGAAGGTTAAGGGACTGAGCCACCGAGGTGCCCCCCAAAGTAGGTTTTATAATAAAAGAATTATACTGCTCATAATTATGGCCATTTATTGAATTCCTAGCAGATGCTAGGCACTGTGGTAGGCATGCTATGAATGTTATCAAATTTAGTGCTCACAATAACTTTGAGATAAGCAGTATTTCCCCTATTTCCAGAAGAATCTTCAGAACTTGGCAGGTTGTAAAACTTGCCTGTTTCACTCAGCATATGAATGACAAAGCTGGGATATCAATGCCATCCTTCCACAAGACTTCTTGGAAAGAAAGACTCTCTTGGCACATTTTCAGTATCTGGCAATATCCTGAGTACCTTGGGTGGGGAAGATGGGCTCTTTAGTTTTGCTCGTGGGTAGGATACCGTAGGTACCGTGTCCCCAAGACTGCACATTGGCAACAGCACGCTGGCAATAGTTCTTGCTCCTTCAAGCCGACCTATTTTTCCCTAGATTTGCCTTTACATCCTCTTTGAGCCCCCTCAGCAGTTGCTGTTCGACCACCATCCCCATGAATTCCATTCAGCACCACATGCCTGCACATAATATATGAGTCATGAGTTGTGAAATCCGTCCCATATCGGTTTCCTTCCCTAAATACATAGAAACTTCTTAAGGCTTCTTAAGATTTTCCTGAATAAGGAGATAAATATCAAGACTTAAGTTTGGACCAAAGTCAGAAGAGGCTATTTTAATAGGGTTTAACTCCATCTTCTCTTAGGATTTCATACAGAATAATATACAAGATGGAATCTATTTTTGGATTGGGTTGAACATCACACACCCACAAAAGACATGGACCTGGCTGGGAGGCACTCCATTGAATGTACAGTTGTGAGTATTTAACATTTGAGTCTCTCAGCAGCCGGTTTCTCCTGAGAGTTGCCTAAAACCCCAGATAGCCAAATGGTTCTATAGACTGCAGACTTTGACCTTTGTTAATGTGTGAACGATTAGGAAATTTGCCTTAGAGAAATGAAGTCTGCTAAGAGAATTTATTTTCTTATTTGAGCTTTGAATTTATCTATAATACTAGAGGTAGAAATGGAAAATTGTAGGTAATGAAAATTCTCCAAATTTCATTTCTTTGAAGTATTAAAAGTTTACCAAACAATCCTTATTTTGATTAGTAGGAAGACTTCAATTATTGGGAAATATTATGGAATATTTTGTACATAATACAAATATCATTTGACTCTTTTTAAATACTGTCACTCAGTCAGCATTATGTGTATCTACTATTATGTACTTCATTCATTTCTGTTTGAATTCCATGGATAGAGAGTGCTAAAATCTTTGGAGGTTAGGCATTAATCCCCAAAACACAGGCAGAAGCTCCTGGGGGTCCAGGGTGAAACTTTCTACTCTAGACATCCAGGTTTCAGGAATTATCAAAAGTTAATTATACTTCTTGAAAATGTGGAATTTTGTTGTGTCTTTCAAAGAGATGTGAAGTTAAGGGGATTTAGGAAGACTATAGATGCTTTGGAGTGATAGACTGGGTGAGAGTAGGGGGAAAAATGCTCTGAAACAGAAAAAGTCACCCTACAAATGAATATTTTTATCCAGAGACTACTTACAATATTTCTTGTTAAAATTTAAACTCCATACCCACCCATGCCATCATACTCTTTGTATATCAAACACTAAATTAATTTTAAAACTTACCATACTTAACATTGATTCTTTTTTTCTTTTTTAAGATTTTATTTATTTATTTATTTGGCAGAAAGAGAGACAGAGAGAGAGCACAAGTAGGCGCAGTGGCAGGCAGAGGGAGAGGGAGAAGCAGGCTTCTCAATAAGCAGAGAGCCCAATGCAGTACTCGATCCCAGGACCCCGGGATCATGACCTGAGCTGAAGGCAGATGCTTAACCAATTGAGCCACACCCAGACATCCCAGCTTTGATTATTTTTAATAGAAATGCATCACCATATTTTTAAAGTGATGCTGTCAACCCACTTGCAAACTTGCTTAGAATTATTAATTTTCCAGTCTTGCTTTTAAAATTGAGGTTTTTTTTTTTTCTGATTTTTTTAAGGTGCCTTGTGGCTTATTTGTTTAAGACAAAAGAAGTTGGCTTAAAATATGGAAAAATAAACAAAAATATGGAAAAACAGAACTTAGGGGAGTTTTTCTTCTTTTGTGTACAGGGTAAAGTATTTGGATATACCCACATATACACAAATGTGTGGAAATTCCCTTGCTGAGGTGTCTATATGAGTTTAAAACATTTAAAAGTGAGGAAGACTTTAACTCCTTCCCTCATACTGTCTGGGGTTACTGTTGCCACATTTAACATGTACAGTGTAGATATACCATTCTTTCTTAGGATCTCTTATAGAAGTAAGGAGGCTTCTTATAGGCAAACAGTGAAGGAATTTTTTTTTTTTAAAGGTTTTATTTATTTGACAGACAGAGATCACAAGTAGGCAGAGAAGCAGGCAGAGAGAGAGGAGAAAGCAGGGTCCCTGCTGAGCAGAGAGCCTGATGCGGGGCTCGATCCCAGGACTCCGGGATCATGACCCGAGCCGAAGGCAGAGGCTTTAACCCACTGAGCCACCCAGGCGCCCCATGAAGGAATATTTTTAAAAGGTGTGACACTTGGGATTTGGGTCAGGAAAATGACAAGGGTAATAGTTTAATTTTCTACAGAAAATTGATTTAATACTTTTTGAAAAACATACATATTTTTAGATGTGTTGATATTTCTAAATCTTTCCATTCCATTGTTGCAGATATTCAAAAAATTGAATCGAGAATCTTTGGAGTAATAAAATGAATTTTTCTCCTAAAAGGGCAGGACTGTCCTCTGTCTTAATCCATTTGGGCTACTATGACAAAATACCACAGATTGGGTAGCTTACAAGCAACAGAATTTTATTTCTTACTCTTCTGGAAAATGAGTCTCCAAGATCAAGGCCTCAGCATGGTCATGTTTTGGTGAGGGCCCTCTTCCTGGTTTGTAGCCATGTGAGAACATAGTGGAAGGGGTTAGGGATCTCTCTGGAGTCTTTTTAATAAAGAATTAATGAGGGTTCCACCTCATGATTTAAATGCCTCCCAAAGGCCCCACTTCCTAATTCATCACTTTTATGGGTTATGATTTTTAACATATGAATTTTGGGGGGAACACAGACTTTTAGACCATACCAGATAACAGTCTTCTAAGATCTTTAATTTTGTATGATCACATGGAACTGGGAAATCAGTGCTTCTCATTCACATTTTTATTTTAATTCCATACAGCCTTTCCATTTAAAAATGACCATTTTTGTTTAAGAAACTATTTGGAGCAACTACCTTCATTAAAGTAATTTTTTAACAGGTGTTCTTTGTCTGAGAGAAAACATACAAAATACACACAGTTATGTTTTCACCTGAATGAGAACAGAATGTTTAACTTTTCCACAGATTTCAAGTCCTGGGCCAGGCTGAAGATAATGCCTGTGCTGTGATAACAAAGAAGGGTGTGTTTTCCGAAAAGTGTTGCAATCAGAGTTACCGGATTTGTCAACGCGTGCTTTCTGCAGACACTGACCTCTAAACTGATCCCAGTTTATCCTTCCTGTAAAAACCATTCACAAGGACTTTTTAATTTATGTATTTTGTTGAAACACATTATTTTTACAACAAATATGGTGATAATGATGATAATGGTGTTGATTTGTGTCACTCTCAATTTGGGCAATCAGCCTTAACTCATCGCCCTAGCTCTACCCGGTCACTGGTGCTATATTTCCACAGTTATCTCCTGTGCATTATGGTGGCTATTTTAGACACAGCTGTCCCTTTGTCTACTCAATAGTTCTGTCCCCGGGGCACCTGGGCAGCTCAGTCTGTTAAGCTTCCAGGTCTTGGCATTGAGCTCTGTGCTGGTGGAGGGAGGAGTCAGCCTGGGATTCTTTCTTTCTCCCTCTTCCTCTGCCCCTCCTCCTACTCTAAAAAGTTGATTAACTAATAAATAAATAAATTAATTAATTTAAAAAATTCTCTACACTTCTCATTCACCATTAGCAAAGGAGTTTTTTTTTTTTAAAGAAGCCATCAGATAGATGATATATTTATTATTCTTTGACTTTCTACTACTGAGTTTACACAATTGTCTGCATCTTATTTCTTTTTCCTCACTCCCTATTTCCAACAAAGGGGTATCTCTCTGTCTGTCTAAATAAAATTTCTAAGTGCTACATTTGGGATTGCTTCTCTTTTCAGTTTTTTCTAGGACAGTCCCTCCTCTATCATCTCCGTTCTGGTCCCTCTTTTCTTCTATCTCCTTTTCTTTCAGCAACAAAACATGCAAGAGCACAAGAAAATTTTCCCTGAACCACATGTGGCTTCCAGTTTCTGCCCAGTTTCTCCCACCTCTTTTAAGTCAAACCTCCTAGAAATTGTTTCTACTTGTACTTTCCTCTTTTCACCTCCTACTCCAGGTTCTTCTAAAATCTGGTTTCTGCTTTTCCTATTTCACTGTTCTCACAACGTCATAAATGCCTTTTTTCTGGCAAAACACAATGAAGATATTCTAGCTTTCATTTTAACTCTCAGCAGTGTTGCTCATTATCGACCTGTTCTTTCTTCTAGAAATATTCTCTAACCTCAGCATCTATGACACAATGCTCTCTTGAACCTGTATCTACGTTGCCTGCCATTGCTCCTCAGTTTTTTTCTGAAGGATCTCTTCTCTCTTCTGATCTCTTCAGTACTGACATTCCTCAGAGTTTTGGGTGAATTCTCAATCATACACAATTCTTGGCTAAACTCACCTACACTGTAAGTTCTATTGTCATCAATTTATTAGTAACTCCCAAACCCATATTTCTAACCCAGAACTTATTATAGGTTTTGGCCACTGGACATCTCTAGCTGGACACCTCAAAGACCCTTAGCCTTCACATGTTAAAATGAAACTCATTAGCTTAATGAATGACAGCAACGTGCCCATTAGTCCAACCAGAGTCCCTGGAGTCAACCATGACTTCTTTCTTTTCACCCATGATATTCAAACTCTCATTTCAACCTGTCAGTTTTACCACATAATTATTTCTGAATTCATCTACGTATCTGCAGACCGGTCCTGTGGTCATGGATTCTCTCAACACTTGTCTGTTTCTAGCTTTGCCTGCCAAAGTCCATTCTCCATATCATGACCACAGTGATTGTCTAAATCTGATATCATACCACATTACTCACTACATATTTCTGTGTAGGGGTTTTTCCTTGCTTAAATCTTTGACCATCTCTGACCAGACCCTTTGTGTCTTGGTTCCTCTTCATTCTTCCCCCCACCACCATGATTGTAATGATGCAGATAACCTAAACTTTATTCATTTTCTCAAATGTGTCATGCTTTCTCTTGCCTCATATCTAATCGTATGTTTGGCTTGGCTTGATATTCTTCCCTTTCATTTCTCCTGTTTAACTCTTGCTTATGTTTGAGAAGGCTAGTTAAATGCATTTGGTGGAAAATATTTCCTTAACCATTCTCCACTCCAGACTAAATTATATGCATTTAATGTATATTCTCATAGTTTCCTGTATGTATCTTAACATTTAATACCCTATTTTTGACTGTTGTTTAATTATTTGTATTTATTAACATACTGTAAGCTCTGGAAGGACATGATCCTCATTACTGTATGGAAGAGACAAGGTGTCTGATGCATGATGGATGATAAATAAGTACTTGTTCTGTTTTTGAGATTATCTGTAACATTTTATTGTTTAACCAGCACAACTTCCTATTTGTACAAAGCTTCCCTTGGCCTCAGTGATCATTATCTGCCTACTCTTTTTTGTTTTGTTTTTTTCAGTAAAGGTCAGTGTTAGGTATACACGAGCTAATAAATGACGTTTTCCAGGTTTATTATTTGTTTGTTTTTGTTTTTGACCTAGAACTTACAATGAGACTTGGAGCAGATAGATTATTACAGTAATATTTTTCAATATTTGTCAATATTGCAATGGAAAACCTACTTTAAAGTCTTATATCCACGAAGAGAAAAACTTAAAGGTCATACATGAATTTAAAAAAATTATTACAAACTGGTATGTGTGAACAGAAGTAATTATAGTTTATAGGAAATGAAATATAAGAACTTCAACTCACTTAAAAAATTAAAAACAAAGGACACAAGTCTATATTTAGTATAATAAATGCAAACATGTACTATTTTTTAAATGTGTACATTTGAGAAATGCAGGAAGAGTGTTAGGAGAGAATTTGCAGTTAAAGAAAAGGAAGGGAAAATGATGAAAAATTAAGAAGTCTGTGGATATTTTTAAAATTCAAAGCTAAGTTATCAATGCACTTTGTACTCAGATTTTGATTTAAATATTTAAGCATTCAATTAAATATTAAAACCTAAAACAATTAGCCTAGCTGGATTTTTTAAAAAATTCTGTTCAAGGATTATTCTTGAAATATTATTTCCCATTAAGTTAGAAAATTTGCATTTGCATCTAAGGAAATATTTTATGCTGAAATTTTGATACTTGAATTCTAAAAACTACTGTGAATTTAATTAGTCATGTCTAAAAATCCTTCTAGTAATCAAAGTTTGTCTTATTGTTTCCACTATAGACTACATATATATATATATTTCTAAGGGGTTAGACTGCCTGAATAATAATAACTAAAGTTACTTTTAGATTACCCAGTTCTCCAAATTAATATTTTTAATTATACAGTGATCCTAATTGTTGGGATGGGAGAATATTAAATGACATAAATCAGAAGATTCTCAATAGAAGATCCTTTAGGAATAAATTTATAATTTATGGCACTTCCAAAGTTTTTATCCTTAAACTTTAGACTTCTTTTGATACGTATATAGGTTTATGTGTATATATGCAGTTGGGGAAAACTGCTGCTTCACTATTGCTTCACTAAAGACTTTGATGAGACCACGTTCAACTTCCCATTTATACTTCTATTAAAGTTGAGTGCTAAGACTCCTTCCCTTCCCCTGGAAGGGAAGACCTGCTAAGATTCTTTTTCTCCTGAAGTCTTATTACATCATTTCTGGCTCCTACTGTTCCTTGACCCTTTTTCACCTTCTTTGAAAATTCTAACACTTTTTCACCTCATCTGATGCATTACCTCTAATAACCAAAAAAGAGCTAACATTAGGTAGATAGGAAATGTGAAAAAGATATAAGGACCAGTTGTACCGCCTGCTTGTCCCCTCAGCACGTTTCTCTCTGACATTGTTGTTAACACAGTAAGGTGCACCTCAGCGCATGCTTCCTTCACGCTGGTTTAACTGAGTAGCCAGTGTCCCACAGTGGACCTGTTGGAATACCCTTAGCTAAGGAACTCTCCATACTGCTTTTCTTCTTCACTCTTGAGGGCTTCCTTCCTTATCCTTATTTTCCCACTGAACATTTTTTAATTCCCAGAAACAGTTGGATTATTTCCCAAAAACAAAGAAATAAAAATGGGATTATTTTAGTAGTTAAGAGGTACACTGGATGGTATGGCAACACAAAGGTGGTGGGTCTGAGATAAATGTTGGGTGTGGCATTAGGCCAAACCCATTTCAGAACTCTCAAGGAGAAAAAAGAATCGTTCAATAAACCCTTAACAGTAAACTGTCCACACGTATTTTTTAAAAGACTTTATTTATTTATTTGAGAGAGAATGAGAGAGAGAGGGGGAAAGTCAGAAGGAGAAGCAAACCCCCTGCTGAGCAAGGAGCCGGGTGCAGGACTCCATCCTGGGACTCCAGGATCATGGCCTGAGCTGAAGGCAGTCACCCAACCAACTGAGCCACCCAGGCGACCTGTTCATATGTATTAAATTACTATTCTGGAAACATGCCCGTAAATACTGTATAGCAACTGAATTAGTATTCCCATTTTCAAAAAAGCATTTTTCAAGTCAAATGAAGAATCATATATTCATTCTTACACAGTGATAAGATTATATTCCCAAACATCTCCCCCTGCCCCATTTATCCTCAATTGCTTTGAATGCCCCGGCTTTTCCGCTAATCATTGTGTAAATTAACATGTTACTTTCATACTTTGTTTATACTTGCTATATATAAAATACACACACATATATATTATATATATACTATAAATATATACATACTAAAAATATATACTTAGTTGTTCTGCATATATATACATAACATATACATATGTACTTAAACATAAGTGCAAATACATTATACTTAAAGGTATAATAAAATTTTAAATCAAATATAAAAAATGTTTTACCTTTCATAAATTGTCTTTCCAAAATTTTATGGATATGCACTTCCAAGCACAATTATTCATTGTTTTCTTGCAAGACAGATGTAAGAATATTTTGATTTTATTTAAAAAACACCAAAACTCTTAATTTGCTTCTAAAGCAACAACTTTATTTTAGTACTAATTAGTACACTTGAGGCAGACAACTTTTAAATCTATGTTATTAAGTATGCAATAGCATTAGGTGCTGTAAAAGCCACAAGTCATACAAAGGGATTCTTGACATTATTGCTCTATTATTAGAGAGGGCTGATACAATGATCATATAATTTTTAACACCATACATTGAAAGGGCAAAGAAAGATTAGTACATTTTCCTACTTGATTTCGGACACAATTCAGTATTAGAAGTTTTGCAGATTTACTACTTCAGAGTATTTCGGCATCTGTCTTCTGAAAAATATGCACTTCTCTCATTTAAGACTTCTGTAAATACACATGAACTAATTTATTTGTCTAAAGTTGCACTATTATTCTACTAGTGCTCTTATGCACACAGATTCAGTTCTGGGACTAAAAATAAACAACCTAAATTTAGAGCTTACCTAAAAAAAAAAAACCCAAAAAATCAAGAAATAAGCATTTATAAAAGATTATTTTTTTATTAAGCAAATAATCATCTGCTCTTTGCTCCCAAGCTCTTTGCATCTTTTGTCATGTCAGCTCACCCCTCAGACCTCTGCAGCTCTGTTTGTATCCATGTCATATATCCAGCCCAGACTTGCTCATGAATTCAAGAATTCCAGAACAGTACAATAGACATCCTACTAAACATCACCTGGATTTCCCATGAGCTCCTAACACTCAGTAATCTGAAAATATCTCTTACTTTACATTATCAAATAAGAGCACCACGATTCATCTACCTAACCTGGGATTAATTCCTGCTGTCTATTTCCCCTTCATCCCCCTCATCCTATATTTCCTAAGATTTTATCTCTGAAAGAGTTCCTCAATCCACTCATTTGTCTCTGTTCTTCTTGACACTGTTTCTGGCACTGTCCTTATCATTTCTTCTTCTAATCAATTGAAAATCCTTCTAAATAATTTCTTTGTCTATCAGACATATCTTATATTGCCCTGAGAATTATTCTAAATTATATATTTGAAGATGTCCGTATCCTATCTGCAAGTATTCAATAACTTTAGACCAACAACCTAGAGCATCAATGCTAACCCTCCCCTGACATCACATAGAATTTCTCCTAAACTCGGCCCTAGCCCTCCCCCGTCCTCCTCTTCCTCCTCACTCCCAACCTCAGCTTCTGCTCTCTCCTATCTCACACCTCTCATCCCAGTGCTTCCAAACTAGTATAATCCCCAGTGGAGCAACATCAGTGCTTTCCCCTCTGCTGGCAATGTTCTTCCTGAGAATTTTCTTCCTGGAAAACCCTTACTTTATTTGTTAATTTAACAATAGTTTCCCTGTAATGATTTCCCTGGGAATGTCTTTGTCAGACTTTGGACACTTTCTTTCTTATGCTGCCACTGAAACTTTTCATACATCATCTACATTTGTCTGTGCACTCCTTACACTGTTTGTTAAGGACCTGTTGAAAGTTCCTCTAGCCCATCTCTGATTTTCTAAAGAATGGGGGAGGGGGAAGTACAGGGAGGAAAAGGAAGTGAAAATGAGTGTGCGGAGAGGGGTTGAAAAGATGGGAAATGTGGCCTGGCTTGTAAAAGATACAAGAATGAGACCTTCTTAAGTGATTTCCCTAAATTCTTACTCATCCCATTCTCCAGTATATGCTCTATTACAAGTGTTCTAATTTCTATCAATAAGTATAGATTGCTCACCCATAGAATGTAGATTGCAGATTTCACTTTTAAGAAAAGGATGATATTTAACAAAGAAATCTTGTTAACCTTGAGTAAACATGAAAAGTTACACATTCTGACACAGAACCTAATTATCATTTTCTCAACTAGAAGCTTGAGCCTCAAAATGCAAATTGCTCCCTCACCCATCTGCTCCCTAAATTTGTACCATTCATATTGTTCATTATGCAACAGCCTCGTGGCATTCACTACTAGAAAGCTGCTGGTCCAGCCTGTTCACTCAGAATCTTGATGCCCTTTGCATGATGGTCTGAACATGAATTTTTTTTTTTTTTTTTTTTTTTTTTTTTTTGCTGCGAGTTTGGTGTATGAAAGAGATTCAATTCACTAGGAAATCAGCACGTTTAAATACAATGCTGAGTTTAATTTACACTACATTCATGAGTGGATCTCATCTTGCCAAACTGAAAGAAAATCAACAACTAATATTGATAATATAAGTAAGGAGATGGGGCAAAAATATTATTAGAGTTCTTGAAAAAAAAGTAACTTTAAATGATCTTAGTCTGAATTCATATGAGTAAATATCTTAAAATATCATTTAAATTTTTCATTTATATTTTAATGTATCAGAAATTTTACTCCATAGGAGGTTTGGGGACATATATTGGGCATATATTTCTTGAATACTAAGTATTTAGTAGATCTATAAAAGTGGTTTAGAGATTTGGGAATAAAAAGCACCAATGAAAATTTCTAAACATGAATTTCATGTACTTTATATTAATACAATATATGTATCTTAAGAGGAATAAAAACTACATTTTGTGTAAGATATCTTAGAACTATGATGTCTTAACTTCTGGGTATACATGTGTCTGGTTTGCTGCAAATCCATTTCCTAACCAAGTGCGTACTGGCACTACTAATCCCAATTCTGTGTAAGTAGGCACATTCTCCAATTCCAATTATTTTAAACCTGAAACAAAACACAGAAGGAAAAATGAAAGGCAATAGATTGGTGAGCACTGTTTGGAAGAATTAGTGAAAAAATATTTTTCTGCCATGAGTTTTTATTTTCTTTAAATTTTTAAAAGATTTTATTTATTTATTTGACAGAGATCACAAGTAGGCAGAGGCAGGCAGAAAGAGAGGGGAAGCAGGCTTCCTGCTGAGCAGAAAGCCCTATGCAGGGCTTGATTCCAGGACCCTGAGATCATGACCTGGGCCGAAGGCAGAGGCTTAACCACTGAGCCACCCAGGTGCACTTTTTAAAAATTTTTTTTCTTAAAGATTTTTCTGCTGTGAGGTTTTATCTCACCCAACACTGCAGTGTTTGAATACAAAGCAAAGTGAATTCATATGCTTTGATCTAAAATGTGGCTTTATAAACTTGAGAAATCTATAAGCTATATGATGGAGACATGCAGGATTTATTGCCAAATGCATTTTATATATGTGTTGTAAAATAGTGTAGGTCTTCACAAACGTGAACAGCAAGTAAAGTGGCGATAAATATACCTACTTCCCACAGTTGTTGTGCAGGTCAAATGAGATCACGATTATGAAGCACTGTTTGGAATACTGTAGGTATTAATACTCTGTACAGTAATATTTACATTACTACTTTTCCTCTGGGCTCATTTTATTTTCCACAACAAAGGAAACATCCAGGAGAATAGTGCATATGGACTGTAACAAATCTTTTTGTGGTGGCAAAGGGCTCAGAGCCCCGACTTTCGGTGTATAAATTATATACCCAGGACTTACCAGCCACTGTATATGATTCCATCTATCCACTTCCACGTCTGTCCTGGTTCTCGACTCAGTCCAATCCAATACTGAGAATGGTCAGAATATCTTTTCAGGAAATCCTTTAATAGAATATATTTATAGGATGAATAGCAAATGCTTCATTCAGTTGCATTTTCTTTTGTCTCAGTATACTCTTTATAGAAATACAGACTTTTATATTTGGAAGTGATCATAGAGGGGACAGCATCCTTATCTGGTTCACAGTTTAGTTCATGGGTTGGGTTACTTCTCTAACAATTATCATAGTAAATTGCATTGAGTAGCTTTCTTTTCTATTTTCCAAAGAGTTTTTAAAAGACAGAAATGGCCTGTTCTGTGATACCTTGCTCCTATTTGCCAGTAAATCCTAGGTTTGGTGTCTTTTAGGATGGGAGAATCTTAACAGTAAGATAGTTGGTTCATCCAGGTTTTTATATATCTTCATAATTTATTCTGATACATTATATTTTCTGATGTATTACCATTAACCTTGCTTTTTTGTTTTGTTTGGATTTGGTTAATAATTGGTTTGCACACTCTTCCTTTCATTTTCTAGCACGCGCGTGTGTGTGTACACGCACTTAGGTATGTCTCTGTAAGTAGCATGTTACTGGACTTTGTTGTTTTTTTAAAAAACAGTCTGATAATTTTCGTCATTTAAGAAACAAATTAGAACATTCATATTTTATCATGATCACTGTTATATTTGGATTTATTAAGGTTGTGTTTTCTGACTACTAGTTTTTCTTTGTTCTTTTACATTTTTTGAATTTTATTGGATTGACAATTTTTCTACATCTTTAATTTATTTGAACACCTTCATTTGTTAGGACATTTTTTACTCCTTGGTGCTTACCATTTATCTAAAAATAAATGCCTGTCTGTACATATCTCAATATAGGTTGTCTATATTTATTATTTAAATAATTGTGAAGGCAATTATCCATTTCTTCAAAGTTTTCAAATTTATGGACATAAAATTATTTGAAGATTTTTGCTTTTAAATACCTACTGTTTGTATTTATTAGGTGCATGTCTTTTTCCCTTTTCTGTGATCAATCCTGTCTATGCACAGAACCAGTTTTGCTTTTGTATATCCTCACTATTTTGTTGGACTCTTTTATGTTTATTCCTCAAATTATTTCAATTACTGTGTTTTTAGTTAAAATATTTCTTTTGTTTTGTTTTAATATTCATCATTTCTCATTTTTTCTCTGCTTTAGTTTTTCTCAATTTATTATTCTATAGAATGGACCATATGACTTCATTTATATTTTTCAGCCATCCAAATGTACTTATCTAAAAATCTTTGTCAGAATGGTCTACCAAATTAATATCAATTTGGGACAATCCCTCTTCTGTCCTTTCCTGGTAGAGTATATGGTCAGTAAATGTTAAATATATCCCTATGCTCCTTGAGGTCTTAACTCTTCTGCCTCCTAACACTTGTTGTTCTACATCTCTATTATTTCAGGTTTGGGGAGATTTGTACTGTGTGGTTGGTTTCTCCATTGATCTTTTTCTGTGCCAGAAGCTCCAGACCTTCTTGGTTATAGTGACTCATTTTAAGTCTTTTCCAGTATCTTTGACAAGTGGTTTGCCATAACTTTCTGCTTATTATGTTTTTGAATATAGTTCCCCCAAAGGCAACTTTAGTTTGGTGTAAAATAGGTAGGTAATAATAGTTCATTAATGAGGGCTTTATTATGGCTTCATGGGTCTGAACTTCATGGGAGGTGGTTTTGGGTTTTCCCTGGATTTTGGTGCTGTATTCCAACTTGAAAATGTAGAGCTGGGTAATATGTAGTTGAACTTCTTTGCACAATAGTTGGGGTCTTTCTAGTGAGTAGTAGTATATAAATTTCTCTATACAGGGCATAGGGAAAATGCCTACTATGTAACTTACTTCTAAATTCTTTTTACTCCCACTTGAAAAGTCAAGTAGGGCAGTCATCTCCTGATAATTTGTACTCTAAGGTTTGCTCTGACCTGATGTGAGCTCTTTCTACAATTAAGCTGATGTGGATAAAAAGGGCTTTGAGGCTGGGTGAGAGGGTCTTTTCTGGCTCTTTCCATTTCCAGTGCCTTCTCCACAATAGCTATGATCTCTGAAAACAGAATTATAATTCAAAAGAATTGCCTTACTAAGTTGAGAGGCAAAGTGGGAGGTTTGGGGGGTCGGGAAGGAAAAAATGAAACAAGATGGTATCAGGAGGGAGACAAACCATAAGAGACCCTTAATCTCACAAAACAAACTGAGGGTTGCCGGGGGAAGGGGGCTAGGGAGAGGGGTTTGGGTTATGGACACTGGGGAAGGTATATGCTATGGTGAGTGCTGTGAAGTGTGTAAACCTGGCAATTCACAGACCTGTACCCCTGGGGTTAATAATACATTATATGTTAATAAAAAATAAAAAAAAATAAAAAAAATAAAGAATTGCCTTACCAGTTCTTCTATGGTGTTGAAGACAGCAAGAGTGGCTAAATGAGAGGCACAGAAGTTCTGGCTTGCTGCCCAGGTTCTTGTACTTTCAGAAAAATAGAAGCACTTTCCCAGGTAACCAATCCAGCCATTCGAGCATGGCATAGGTTCAGTAGAATATCTATGTTTTTCAACTGAAAGTGATTTAATAACATATTAACTACTGGTGGCATAACCTGAATGTCCTGCTCTGAGATATAATAGAATTTAATTTAAAACAGTTATCTTATCCACATCAATGAAATTCATCAAACTAGCTTGGCCCTTTGATCTGAAGCTTTTGGACTTCATTAATCATTCTTTATTTTTCTCCAAATGAGGTCAGCTCCTAAATGTTTGTATTTATTTTTCTTGATAAATTGAAAGAAATCCTTGGGAGATGGCGCTCATGTATATGTTGTTATGGATCAAATTCAGGGGTGGGTGTCTTTTCAAGTGACACACTCACCTAGGAGAACATAGTCATTCTCATGACGTTATATCATGTTTATACAGATAATTACTAAAGTGATATGTCCAACCCAGGCCACTCATCAGAAATTTCCCATATACAACTACCTAATGGACACCCATTCATTGAATAACAAAGTATTTGTGAGTACACACTATGCTAAGCACTGTTGTATATGTTTATTAGAGACATAGTCCCTGCCATCACTGTGCCGAGTCTAGTGGGCAGATAGATATTCAACAAATAATTACAAAATCAAGGAATGGTACAAGCGGAATAGCCACAGGTACTGAGAGACAATGAGTTGAGGGGAACTGGTCTAGTTCAAGGATGGGAATTGGAGTAGACATTTCAGCTGACACTTTAAGGATACAGAGAGCTGGATCGCCAGATGAAGAATGAGGAAGGCATGTTCTCAGAAAAGAGGAAGTGAATGTGTAAAGGCCCTGGGGTGAGTGATCTTTTCACTTGAGAAAAGAAGATCAATCCAAGTGGAGTATAGATAGAAAGAAGAAACATAACAAGAACTGAGGCCAGAAGAATGAACAGGAATGAGACGTTGCCTATGTACACGGTAAAGATTTTACAACTTATACTAAAAGGATTGTTCCAAACTAGAGATAGGTGATGATGTATGGGCTGGATGGATGGCATGTTGATTCATAAAAAATACTGTCAGAAGAAAATCAGATTTGGGAAAAAGACAAGTGTTCCATTTAAAGTGTATGAAAACAACTAAGTGGGATATATCTGATCCAGTTCTACCTATGCTTCCACTAAGCTTAAACAATGTTTAAAGTTTAGCTTTTCTTTATTTTTGTTTTAATTTTAAAAAAAGTTTTAAAAATTTTACTTTATTTATTTATTTGAGAATGAGCAAGAGAGAGAACACGGAAGACAAGAGCACAGAGAGAGAGGGAGAAGCAGACATCCCACTAAACAGAGAGCCCGATGCGGGGCTTGATCCCAGAACCCTGAGATCATGACCTGAGCCAAAGGCAGAAACTTAACCAACTGAACCACTCAGGTTCCCCTAAATTTTTCTTAAAACTGTAATGAAATGTGCATCAGGATTTGATCTTTGTTTACATCTTTGGCTTTATTTTGTCTTATTTTTCTGTAGGCACTTTGTTTTCCTCTTTATTTCCTTGTATACCAAGCTTGTTGTAGTCCCTAATACATGTCATGTTACTTTTAGGTGATATATGGGCCTTTGTTCATGCTGACCTGTGTTCCCCAATGCCACAGCCCCACCCTAACTTGCAGTAAAAAAGTCCATCCCTGTCCAACTGGAAAGTATCTACTTGTATTTCAATAATCTATTACGTTAAAGCTAATTTCCTCTACAAATTCCCTCTACTCTATCCCAGTGGAATTGATCATATTCTCTTTTCCATGCTTTTGGCTTCTCATAGACCATCAGATTTAATACATTCTAGTAATGACTATAAATTTTGCCACTTCTTTCTCTATCCCAGCACCTGAAAATTATGTCATGTCTGTTTGCTGTATAAATAAACAAAATATATAACTGCCATATGTCTCTGAGAAAAATCTATGTAACCATTCTCAAGCATACCTAAGAGAAAGAAAAATTTTTATTCTAGACCTGATTAGATTTTTGACTTATGTATTGCAGACTATTTTAACCTGAGCATTAATATCTATTATGTACGAAATGTCTAGTTTTATGCCAAAGCCCAAAATCAATCATCTGATCTGGCATAGGAGTTCAGCATATTTATTTCTCCTCTCCCCAAATTATGTTAAATAACCCTTATTTTTACTTAATAACTTTAGGAAATCAGAGTTTCAGCACTACAAGCAACACTGAAAATTATCCTGTCCAGTCCTGTGTTGTATAAATAGGGAAGCTGAGATGTTAGACCCTAGAAGACTTATAACCAATGACAAAACCTCAAGGTGGAATTCTGGCCCCACATTTCAGTATCACTGCAGGATAAATCATATTAACCTTTATAAACTGTCTAGAGTGTAATGTGATACAGTTTATAAAATAGTCTTTTGAATATAACTTGAATCAGAGAACAAAAATGAGAATTCTTAGGAATTCCATTGAATAAATTCCACTGAAGGAAAATTAAGAGCCCCTGGTAAGGGGCTAACTGCACGGACTTCAGCAGGTGGCCTAGAAGAAACTTTCTAATAACAGGTTGAACATATTTTATTTCCTTTAACAAATTACTGGATGCTTATATTATATAAACTGTAGGAAATAAGCTCATTTAGGAAGACACAACATTGTAGACGTGGTAAAGAACAGTGAATAAAGTTCAGAAGACTTAGACTCAGTTTGTAACTTTACTTAGCTGTGTTTAGATAGTCAGCTACTATCTCTTGAAATTCAAAGTCGTACATAACAAAAGACAATAAGGGAAATAATACTTCATTACTCTCTGGGTCACTCAAAAATGCAAATAAAATATTATGCATTAAAATATAAAGCATAAAACGCTTTTTAAATAAATAGCTTTATCAAAAACCTTTTTCCTCCTCCTTTTCCTCCAACTCTTCCTCCTCCTTTTCCAACTCCTCTTCCTCCTCCACCTTTTCATCATCCTCCTTTTTCTCCAGTTGAGTAAGTTCCATGAGGGCAAGAATCATTGGTCAACACCTAACATAATGCCCATTTCACATAATGATTTTTTTCTCTATCTCCTTATCTATATATCTAACCATCCATTTATATATATACAGTTTACTTACATATTTATTCATTTCTATACATGTAAATATAGTCAAGTATATGTACATAATCATGTATATATGCAAGGCTTAATGCCTAGTTGATAGTATAAGCTTGGTCATTATAGCTATACTATATAAACTCATTTATACATATTTATGTGCACATTTATGTATACAAGTGTATATAATACATATGCACATTAATTTCTACAAATTACATATCCATGTATAATATATACATTTATAATACATATATTCATGTATAAACCATATACATATTTTTATATGCACATCTATATAAACATATTCTTGTGTATATATTTTTAAACATCTTGTTAAAATTGCTTCAAGTTATTTTTAGCATACATGTGCATATTTTGCCATCATGAGGGGGAGATATATCATTCTAAACGTGCTTTTAGAGGCTAAAAGTAATCTATATTTTGTATAAAAAATATGGTCATTAGTATAGTAACAACTTTTTCTTGTCCAATTCTCTATAGCTCATATGTATAGCTATGAATTATGATTGGGACTTGTAAATCTGACTGCATCATTGAAAGCTGCACAATCAGAGAGAGAGAGCAGATGTTTTACACCTTTAACTCAGTTTTCCAGTCTTGTAAAAATAGTCATTAGCTAAAAGCAGCTTAAAAAAAGATACCAATATTTATGTAAAAGTATATGGTTTAGGGAAAGGTAATCCATGTCTAGATAATGTTGCATAAACTGTTTGCTATTATATGGTTTGTAAAAGAGTCTCCAAAGGGAGATAAGGACCTTGTGGCACATTGGTAACTAACTGTGTCACCAAATATACTGTATAGTGATTTACATTTTTACCATGATCCCCTTACCTTGTAAGGACTATAGCTAATACTGGTTTAGAAGGAAGTTTCATATGTATTAAATTACTATTATCCTCACAATATGCAGTATAGATATTATCCTCATTTTATAGAAGAAACATATATTCATCCCATGTACAAAAATGTCTGAAATTACCCTTAATCTTGAGCTACAGTGCAAAAGGCACACAGATGATGTAATATTTTGTAGTAGAGTTAACATGAGAATATTTGGGAAGTGGGCAACTCACCTGCTAAAATTGTGGCCAGTGTAGTTATCAAAAGCACCAGGAAGAAGATGACAGTGGTGATAATTTTAGAGCTACAAAGGTGCTTTTTGTCCCTTTTTGAGGGTCCTTGTGATTTTCTAGTAAGGTTGAAAGTAATAACATCTCCTATAAAGAAATCAATTTTTAGTTATTTTTAGTTACAATCAGTTTTTAGTTACTAAAATGGGAGTTTAGAATGTTGTAGGAGCAAGGTCAATATATACAAACTGATTATATTTCTATATGCTAGCAGTGATCAATACAAAATTAAAATATACTATTCACAATAGCATAAAAATATTAAATACTTATGGATAAATCTGACAGAAGATGTGCAAAACTTGTACATTGAAGACCAGAAAACATTGCTGAAATAAATTACAGACATGGAGAAAGATACCATTTAAGTGATTCAGAAGACACAATTTTGTGAAGATGTCAATTCAACTCAAATTAATTTATAGTTTCATCACAATTCCAAACAAAATTCCCAGCAGGCATTTTTTTTTTGGAAAGTAGAAATTGGCAAGCTCTTTCTAAGCATTTTCATGTATGTCAATTTTATCTAATAGAGCAATTTTATCTAATAGAGCTTTTAAATTTTATCATACCAAAAAAGTTACCTTTTATCCACACAGTGTGGGTCTTTATAAGATACTTTGGAAAGATAGCTAAAAATAATATGACACAGAGAGAAGAAATGAAGAGAATGGAGATACCAACTCTCTCAGGAGGGTTAGCACTCAGAATTGATAACAGGTGCCCATCAAATGTAAATTTATTTACTTTACAAATAGTGCATAAAGCCTGGCATACGTGTGCTTCTTACCTGAGGACTGAAAATCTCCTGAGTTCGTCAGTGTTCTGTTATCATCCATGCCTCCTTTTCAGCAAAGCAAGAATACAGATTGGTTGTAAGGAAAGCACTGGATTCAAGATCCCTGACTATGTTGGATCTCCTGTCAGTAATATGAAGACAGTCTAAAATAAGGATATAGAGTTAAAGACTAAAAGGAGTTAAATAGTTAAAGTCTAAAAGGAGAACACAGTGTTACAACATCCTAAACTGAGAATACCACACTAATATAAGAATTATGATGAATTACCTCAGAAGTCTGATCAATGACATAACTCCTGCCTTTTTGCTACATTTCTGTCCAGATATCATTCTATCTCACTGAAGTTGGAGGAGCCACTGGAGGTGGTGGGAGACTCTGACATGATTCTTCTGACTGTTGGGGTTGGCAGAAAGGAAGTGAGATCCAGTAGTTTACGAAGCCAACAAACTGAGTCCTCACACTATCACTCTGACCTACCAACGTTTTTAGTTAATTTTGGCCATTATGAATCCCAGTCACGAGCCAGTTCTAAAGGATTTGAGCATGAAATAGCAATTTAGATTGTAGTGAAAAGAACATCAATTGTCTTTAATAGTAATAATAACAATAATAATAATAGGAACAATCATATCTCCTATTTGTTGTGTGCTTACTCTATGGTAAGCCTAGTTCTGAGCTTTTAACTTTTGTGATTTAATTTACACTTATAATCACATGAAATAGGAGCTAATTATTATCATTAATTTACAGTTGAGGCAAATTCCTTAAAGTAACAGAGAGGTAAAAAGCTTTTCCTTAAAGTAAGATAGCCAATATGTGGTCAAATTGAGATATTAGTTTGCTCTGATCATTTAACCACTCTGCTCTACTGTCCTGCTTCTGTCTGTTTGGGACCTTGCTGTGAGTGTTCTCATAAGCTGAACTCCTACTTCCAGATATAGAAAGCAGACTTCAAGCTCAGCAATAACAATAAAACTATAGTGTCATTGGTATTATGCCAAAATCATTTTAGTCATCTAGTATCATTTGATATAGGCTCTCATGTATTCATGACAAACATGACAGCCTATATTTCAAAGTCCCTTCCATGAGAGACAAACAGAAAGTAATGGGTTGACATTTTTAAAAACTGGATTATAAGGTATACAGTTCTTCCTAATTTTGTATGTTGATGTCTTTAATATGTGGATATTAATTCACATCTCCAAAAAACCAATTACTTCAGGAGCCATGAGTGTGTGTTAGAGAGAGATAGAGAGAGAGAGAGAGAGAGCACAACAGAGATACAGACAGACAGAAACAGAGAGAGAAAGAAAGATTGGGAAGACCCCTGGCTAGACTATTTTATTCACCTTTATCTGAAGCAAAAATTACCCCCACACTCTAAATGCTATTCAAAAACCATAAATTTTGCTCATGTACCAGTTAGTTATTGCCATAGTAATGCTATTTTACAAACCATACCCCAAATGCTGGCTCACTCACTAGTCTGTGGTGTGTTGGCTGAGTCGTCTGGGTTGTTGGGCTGAGGCTCAGCCTCAAACTGTGAGTCTGTGTTCTTATCTCTTTGCTATCCTGGGGTCCAGGCTGAAGAGGCAGCAGCTACTCCAGAAGCTTTTCTCACAGAGGTGTCAAAGAGTTGCAAGAGACTAAGCCCATCAACTCAGCATATTTCAAGTCTCTGGTTGACCTCAAAGTCAGGGAGTGGGGAAGTACACTTTACAACTAGTAAGAGGAATTGCAGAGCAATATATATATCTATAAGGAGTGAATCAAGGGCCAACACGTCACAAGCCACAACTTGTGTTCCTTCTTGAGGACTTCCGGTCAAATTTTGCGATTGGTCTTTTAAATTTATTTATTTCTTTTTGGGATCCATCTCTTAGATCTTATTTGTTTTGTTTTGCTTTTTAAATTAAGAACTTTACCTAAGATTGCTACTTTCTGCCTCTTCTTTTTTTCCCTTATGGTCAATAGCATCGTTATTCTAAGTCAGGTCAATCTTTTTTCAAAACGAGTTCCATATAAACTTTTCTTATTTCTCCTATGTATTTTCACTTTCCTTTTTCCTTCACTCCACTATTATGCTTGCTTCATGATGGTTCTGCTATGTTTTCAAAAAGATGTGTTGCAGATACAGTACCATAACTCTGCCAGGATAAAGTTGTATAGCGATGCAAAACTAATCCACACCAGTAGTCATGATTTAACAGATGAAAGGCTGTGTTTCAACCACTGTGTTTTATCAATGAAGAAAATGAATCAAACATAAATGAGTAAATTACTCAAGGTACTCAGCTGATTGGTAAAGGCTTCTAGTTCTTTGTTTGCCAATTCATTTTCTCTCCAACATCTATGTCCAACTTTGTAGATAAACTTGCCTGGGATTTGAAAGCCTATTCTCACTTTCTTAAGACAGTCAAATCATTGACTGAGAACTAGTATTCAAATTGTTTAATTCTTTTACCCACAAATAATATTGGTCACAATTATACATCAAAATCTAATTTGTTTATTTCTTTCCCACCCCAATTTTACTAAATATTTTAGTTGCTTATCATCTCTCAACCAGACATTTGTGACAGCCTCTAACTAGTTACTTCTCATTCAGGCCAGTTTCTTCCTTCTCTTTCCATCCAACATTCACATCACTGTCAAAATCTTTTTTTTTTCCTAGATCACTAATCTATTCATAAGTCTCACTGCTTAATTTTTGTCAGTTCTTCTCTATCATCTCCAAAATAAAAACTAAGCACCTTAGAATAACCCTAAGCAATTCAAATGTCGAATTACATTATCTGGGCCATCTCTTTTCCATCTTTTCTGTAGTGGACTTTGCATCATTTTCCAAACACACATTCTTTCACTCTGTTGCCTTAGCTCAGACTCTTACCATTATCTGATGTGCCCTCCTCCACTTGTCTACTCAGCTCAAGAGTTGAAACCAAATTTACAATCAAACAAACAACCTACTCTTTCTCTCTCTCTCTTTCTAAAGTTTTTTTTTTTTATTTATTTGACACAGAGAGATCACAAGTAGGCAGAGAGGCAGGCAGAGAGAGAGAGAGGTGGGGGGAAGCAGGCTCCCTGCTGAACAGAGATCCTGATATGGGACTCGATCCCAGGACCCGGAGATCATGACCTGAGCTGAAGGCAGAGGCTTAACCCACTGAGCCACCCAGGCACCCCAACAACCTACTCTACTAAATCTTTTGGCAGAGTTAGGAAACTTCCCCATCAATCTTATGCTTCTATTTTGGGTTGTATATAACTTATTATAGAACTTGCTATATTAAATTATATTTATTTGTTCATATCTATCTTTTCTAATGGACTATAAACTCCAAGATGGAAGGGACTCTTTTCATCTTTGTATCACCACACAGTCATTGACCCAAAATAAAGTGCTAAAACCAGTGTCTGATGAATGAATAAGTAAATGTTCTAGATCCCTCTTAAAGAGGCCAGTTCAGTATAGTTGGACTCATCTGCATTTTGTAAAAATGAATTTCTTTTGACAAATTACAAAACAAGCATTCGTTCCTCCCTATCCTGTTGGTTTCTGGTTTTATTTCATGTCACTTTCCCTAGCTTAGCTAAGTTACTGATGATATTTCCCCAGGAGACAAATAGTATGACTCTCATTAAAAACAACGTAGGTCTAACACTAACATGGTTTTACTTGTCCCCTCTTGCCTGCAGTTTCTCACATGGGCACCTTCGTCTTCCATTGACCTGTTGCTTGCTACCATCTCCCAAGTTGTATTTCTTTAAGAGCCAGAAAATCATCTTTTGTTAAATAAAGAATAACCAGAAATACTTAATAATTGGCAGATCACAAGCTTAATTGTATCACTGAATTATCTCACAATATCCAATTATATGCATTTTGAAATTCTCCCTTAATTTTTTTTTACTTTGAAATTGTTTGCTAGAATAGCAAGGTCATTCATTCAATTCAGACTTTTGATAATGATCACTCTAAAAGAAAACAGGAAACAACTTTTTCTTTCTAGTTCTCTCCTTGCCTTGGGGGAACCTCATACTCAGAAATTTTCTCTATAGTCCTTCCAGCTCTGTTTACATTACATCTAGTTCATTGATATCCTTGTAGGTATTCAATACCTACCAGGGACATTTCAGAGCACCGACCCCTTTTCAGTGTGTTGATACAACTTATTTGGAACACCTCAAACATGCATTTATTATTAGTTATTTTTTTTATGAGTAGCCTCCTTTCTTTGATGAAATAAATATTGTTTGAAAGAATCAGC